TGGCAATATGTGCTATAAGTAAGGCCTAGCTGCTGAAACGTGTAACCCCTTTGTTACTGGATTTTGATATGTGAGCCAATAAAGTTTTGTATAGAATACTGTACCAGCTTTTCTGCTTTTGAGGACTTAAAGGATAAGTTCACCTTTTTGACCAAAATATTATTATTATTTCAGTTACTTCTATAGCGCTGTCAATTTCCGCAGCGCTTTACATATATAATGTACATTAACATCAGTCCCTAACCCTCAAGGGTGTAAAATCTAATGTCCCTAACTCACATTCAAACACACATACTAGGGCCAATTTAGACAGGATACAATTAACCTACCATTATGTCTTTGGAGTGTGGGAGGAAACTGGAGTCCCTAGAGGAAACCCACTCAGGCACAGGGAGAACATGCAAACTCCAGGCAGGTGGTTGGGATTTGAACCAACAACCCTAGTATTGCCAGACAGAAGTGTTACCCATTTATCCACTGCACATTTTTTTGCAGGTAAAAAAATGTGCATTTATTATTTTTGTCTACAGGAGCCTGAAAAGCATTGCACCAGGGATCAGTAGATCGCTGATGCCAAGCAAGTCTCCTGCACACCTGTCAAAATATCTGCTTGCCATACGGGATGTACGAGTAAGCAGATATGCTGACGGGAAGCTTCAATGAACTACCATGGCGCTCCACAGTGCTGTGGTAGTTCATTGAAAACTACAAGCTGACAGCCCCTAAGACTGCTGGGGCTTGTAGGCACGCATCAGAACTCTGTGAATACGTGACGTGGACGTGTGAGTGGAGCCCCGCACAGGCGCGCTGTTTTCAGATCTGACAGTACAGGGAAACTTCTCCCCATACTATCTGTCAGAGGGAGGCGGGGTGGCGGGCATGGCTGCGGCTATGAGAACATGTTACATGTTCCACCTTAAAATGGATGGAACATGTAACATGTTCCAAAGGTGAACTTCTCCTTAAGCCCTCATGCACACTTGACTTTTGGTAACATTAGCTGTGTAAAGTCATGTGAAAAACGCACATTTTTAAAATTGTTTTTGCATTAGCGTTTAGCTGCGTTTTTTTTTTTCCGCGTTTGCGGTTTTTTAAAAAAAAAAAACTTCCAAAAATGCCGATTTGTGGCGTTTTGCCACGTTTTTTAGCGGTAGAGCGTTTTTACAGCTAAAAAACGAATCTAGAAACCCACTAGTCCTGTTTTTTTTTTCCAGCCAAAAAAAAATTCCTAGCCAAAAAACGTTGATTATAGTCTGTGTGTGCATGGACACATAGGATAACATGCTGAGGGGTATACTAGCTGTAGAAAAAACGTCAAAAGCCAAAAAACGTTGATTATAGTCTGTGTGTGCATGGACACATAGGATAACATGCTGAGGGGTATACTAGCTGTAGAAAAAAAACGTCAAAAGCCAAAAACAGCTACTATAAAAACGTCCAGTGTGCATGAGGACATAATGTTTTTCTTTAGGGGTTAAATTTTGATTGCTGTGGGAACATAAATAAAGGTTTGGGTTTAGGTTTAGGTGTTAGATCTAGTCAAACTAGTGCTGACAGAATCACGAATAAAATACACTAATACACAGATCGATAAATTATCAATTTCTTTTCTGATCTGTTCCAATAGTAATAATCATTCTATAGTTGACAACCCATTAGCTTCATATGCTTCAATGGAGACGCTGCAGAAAAGTGTGCAGTGCGTTTTTTGCTGAGTTTTGCGGTTTAATCTGCCTAGCAACAAGAAATTAAAAAAAAAAAATTAAAAACAAAATGCGGCAAAAATGCATGTGCAAAATCGCAAATCATACTGCAGAAACAGCTCAAACGCAAACTGTATAGGTGTAAACCTATCCTAAATCGAGTCTAAATCAGTCGGAAGGGAATTGTATGGCTATTCAATTGTTTGAAGAGTCGATTGTTTTGATCAAATCACATGTCAATTGAGTAATAACATCAAAGCATGTATGGCTAACCATTAGAGGCCACTTACCTCCTTTTATGGTTTTTCTTCCTCACTGGATGGAATGGCAAAATGTTGATCTGTCACTTCGCTCTCACTTGCAAGTGATATTCTAATTTCTGAATATGAATAACTAGTCCTTTATCTGTAGTAGTTCCTGCCAGGTGACTACTTTTTATGATGATTTTAGCACTTTGGTTCCTTACAAAAGAAACTAGCCCTCTGCTGACTGCTTGTGAGTGACAATAAGAGAAAACCGCCGGCTAAGGCCAATCCCACCTATATCCTCCAGCTCTTTACTACCTCCTGACGTGTCCATTAACTGGTACAATGCATATCTAAAGTGGTCACATGGTTAGTTGGTGGTGACAAAGTGGTTTCAGCCTGTACACTCTTCCACTTGATTCAAAAAGCAATCATGGGGATCAATGTTTTAAAATACTGCAGTTTAGAATTGCTTATTTAAATTTATATTCATATACTGTAAGTCGTATTGATTCTTGAAGGTTTCATTGTGTCTAGAGTTCCATCTTAAAGTGAATGCGTAGTCTTTTCAATGTTTTTTTTTAGATATACTGTATGTGTATATTAGCTCATTACATGCATTGCTTCTTGCTTTGCAGTGCTGCACAATGGTTGTGCTTTCCTGCTCAATGCAAGTCTATCAGCCAACTAACTGCACTCACTGTCTTTCTGATATATTATTAGTTGTTAGGGAAGGTAATGATTACAGATAGTGTCTCCTTCCTCACTAATCATCAATTCTGTGTATTGAATAAAAGTTATGGAAGAGAAATCATGTGAACATGCATCAATTCAAAAATTAGAGACCCTGTCTCCAACCTGATCAAAACATTTCAGGTAAAAAGCATACAAAAATCAATCATTCTAAATGCTTAAATAAATATAAGCGCAGCAGCCATTTTTTTCGTTTTATTCTAAATGCTTACTTGCAGTGTTTTTTTCCTTTTCCATAAATGATTTTCAATTTGCTTACAATGTACTTTCATATTTGCTGTATAATGTGACTGCTTCAGAAAGAGTTATTTCCTAACACAGCCTCCTCCCTCAGTGAACATCCTAGCCTTCTCCTCTTCTGGAAGTGTCCAATCACTCTCTGTGCTGGCCCAGCTCCTCCATCCCCCTTAACGTTTTGTGTATAGGTCAGGAGAGGAGTGAATGAGAATACTTTAGAGTGAAAGCAATGAGTCTTTAAATAGGTTAAATGCACCTATAATCTTAACATGGTAATGGAAAAAACATAGGCTGTAATTCAGTTTTGCCAGGTTATTTAAAGTGACACAAACCTGTTTAAAAAAAATCTGTTCAAGTTTGTACACTCACTGGCCACTTTATTAGGTACACCTGTTTAATTGCTTGGTGACACAAATTGCTAATCAGCCAATCACATGACAGCAACTCAATGGATTTAGTCATGTAGATGTGGTGAAGATGACTTGCTGAAGTTCAAACCGAGCATCAGAATGGGAAGGAAAGGGAATTCAAGTGACTTTGAACGTGGCATGGTTGTTGGTGCCAGACGGGCTGGTCTGAGTACTTAAAAAACTACAGATCTGGTGGGATTTTCACGCACAACCATCTCTAGGGTTTACAGAGAATGGTCCCAAAAAGGAGAAAATATCCAGTGAGTGGCAGTTGTGTGGACGGAAATGGCTTGTTGATGTCAGAGGAGAATGAGCAGACTTGGGTTGCTGCAACATTCAGATGGTAGGGTCAGAATTTGGCATAAACAACATGAAAGCATGGATCCAACCTGCCTTGTATCAATGGTCCAGGCTGGTGATTGACCCCTTGACTCCGACATCACACAAATATGCGGCCCCCACGGAACTGGGCATTTTTTCCATGTGGCCGCATATCTGCCTACCTGTCTTTGTGCTGGGAGTGCACTGTGCGGCGTGCTCCCAGCACAAAGACCGCAGTGTCACTGAGAGCACCGGGTACCATTCTAACGATTTGGACTCGGGACTCCCGATTCTGGGTCACGTGATCGCTGTGATAGCCTCTGATTGGCTATCACAGTGATCAGTCACTGTACAGCCCAGCCCCCTTGTTTTTTTCTCTTTATGAATGGAGGAGAGAGATACATTGTATCTCTAACTCCTGGCATAGGGAGAGAAAAAAAATGTTTGTAAATAAGAAAAAAAAAAAAAAGATAACTAAATAACTATTAAAGAATAAAGAAAAAGTTGTGCTTAGGCATTTAGATTTGTTTTACCCTTAGGCGTGAAGGGGTTAATGGTGTGGAAGATATTTTCTTGTACCTAATAAAGTGGCCGGTGAGTGTATTCTCAACCATCTGTTGCCTTCAGCCTCCTTTTAAATGTATTTTTTTGCCGGTGTGATCTGACTTCTTTTTAGAAGGTGACTACGTTTATTTTCCATGGTTCCTCGGTATATAGAAATATATCCACCCTCTCTTGCTCTCTGTCCAGATGAACTAGGGGCTATGGACTGTGGGATTTGTAGTATGCACAGAACAGTGCACTCCTCAATCAAAACAAGTGAAAGGGGAAAGGAGATGTTCGGGGGCTCACAGAGGACAATGGAAAAAACAGAGAAAGAAGCAAATTCATGAAAAATAGATTACATGGATATGAAAAAGTGGATGTGTTTTAATTGTTTTTGTATAATAAAGATATTGTTTAGTGTCACTTTAATTTTTTTTTTCCATGAAAACTCTTTCTAGATGTTAGTATAAAGCATAGTTATATGTCTATATAAATATCTAATGAGCAGGGCCCTCTGTTTCCTCTTGTACCAAATTGTATTGTAACTGTAATGTCTACCTTCATTTTGTACAGCGCTGCGTAAACTGTTGGAGCTATATAAATCCTGTATAATAATAAGTTATATATATACAGTACAAAAAACTATGTAAAGCAATTCTATTTTCTGCCAGGTGAGGTCACTACAGGAGCAGTAAAATTACTACCTAATATCAGCTCATTAAGCTATCAGAGATTGGAACATACAATCTACATGTGATTGAATAAGAAAGATTGCAGATCCTTACCATAGAGGCAGAGCAATGCTGTAGAGAGAGTTGCATCATTTTCCCGTCCTGTCTGTCGTTCTTGAAAAGCAGTAGTCAGTATCCGATTTCTCCAGGACACCCAGTGAAGTACCTTCTCAAGCTATATGTAAAGCGTCAAACCACTCCTTTGAACAGAAAGAGTAAAAATAGATTGGTCCACATATAGATACAGAAGAATACATATGCAGAAAGCAGTAATATATATATTTAGCCAAAAAAAAATCTGTACGTGACATTTCTATCTTATTAATTTTTCCTAATGAAAGAAAAGATCTTTTAGTGAATATGCACAGAATAGTGGCCATGCACATACAGATCTGTGATTACTCTAAGTATGGGCAAACGCAACCCAGCGATTCATCATGGATAAAAATATCAAACAATGGGGTTGATTTACTAAAACTAGAGAGTGCAAAATCTGGTGCAGCTGTACATGGTAGCCAATCAGCATCTAACTTTAGCTTGTTCAGTTAGGCTTGACAATAAAACCTGAAATCTGATTGGTTTCTATGCAGACTTGCGCCAGATTTTGCACTCTCCAGTTTTAGTAAATCCCCCCCAATGTAACACATTATGCTGTTCAGCACTCTGCAATCTGTTGAAAATATTGATCAAAAATACAATCTATGAGTCTTAAATCTAAAAATCTATTACAAATGATCATTTATTGCACGGGTGTCAAACTGGCAGCCCTCCAGCTGTTGCCAAATTACAAGTCCCATGAGGCATTGCAAGATTGACAGTTAAAAGCATGACTCCCAAAGGCAGAGGCATGATGGGACCTGTTTCGCAACAGCTGGAGGACCGCCAGTTTGACACCCATGATTTATTGGAACTGTATTACCATCAGTTCTCCCAATACACACAAATATATTTGAGTGATTGGAAGTAATTGTAAAATTCCACCATGGCCAATCAACTGGGTAGAGCCAATCAATGAAGAACCTGTTAAGAACTTACTAAATTGATCGAATAAAGGGTTCTTTGGTTTGAGATTTGTATCCAATCTGATCATGTTAAGTCATATTGAATGATCAATACAATGAGCCTATCAATATACAGTATGTGTGACCAAGAACCATTCACTCGGGTGTAGGAGCTGTGGCCACCATGTCCTTCCGTCTTTGTTTTATTGTCCTCCAGAGCCAGCTTCCTCTTACTGATTTTAGCAGCCACCTGATGACCAGATTTTGTGCATGTGCAAACCTAAGTCTTGGTCCATAATAGTCTCACCCAGTATCTCTCACGGCTCTGTCCAGCTATAATATTGGTCCACATTTTTCGGTTTCACTCCTGAATAGAAAATGTAAAAGCAGTCATGTATACAGGGGTGAGATAAGATCTTTTCATTCTTGTGGAAATACAGATGTGGATATGCCAGGAGGCTGTTGGTGGACAATTTACAGGTCATGTCTGCTAGGGCAGAAGTGATACCCATTCTAATTGTAGACAGTACATGTATGCATTATTGGAAGAAAACCCTCATAGATACCTGTGTCCTGTAGCTCAGGCAGCCTGTAGACCAGAGCCTTGAATAGCCTGAAAATCTTCTCATTTGCTCAAAGCTGACTGCATTATCATAAGTTTCTCTAGCAGAGCCTAGCACGTCATTCTATCATAACCTCCCCTGTCCTTTCCCAATTTCTTTTGCTAAGTTCTCAAGATCCCATCTACAGCCCCCTGTCCCTCTTAGCTCCCTGTAGGGTTGAGGAGATGCTTTTGTACAGATGTTGCTACACGGGTGGTGCAAAGGTTACATTTCAGTTATCTAAAGTAAATAGATTTTTGGAGCGGACAGCTTTTCAAATATAGTTTCATGTTCAGTGTGTACACAATGCTAAGTTAAGGAACTAATTGATGTTATCCAAAAAGAAGTAGGTGTTTTAAAGGGTTAGCAGATATTCTGCCATGCTTCACACTTTGCATTTCAAGACCAGAAACTTAAAAACCATGTACAAATGTATAAAGTAGATGTAAACACTATCTAAATGATATTTATTAGGCTAAAGCCCTATGTATCAAAAACATTTGACACCAAGAGAAACAAAGGTGACAGGGACCTCTAGCACTCTTCCTATATGCTGTGTGAAGGGGATGTGTCCCTTCCCTCCAATCAGTTCTCAGAGTGACTTCCATTCCTCGCCCCCCTGCTTTTCAGAACTGAGAGATATAGTGTAAATCCTGTACATTTATTGTATGTAAAGAAGAGAAGGCTGAAGATAAACAGGTACACCTTTTTTGTAGGAACATTTCTTTCATTTCTGTATCACCTGAGGCCAGTCACTTCAGTGGGTATCGGGGAAACTGTCTCCCTTCCTCAGAGCTAAAGCTTCCTCGAAACTTGTCATCTGGCTTTGTAATCCATTCACCTGGTGGGATGGGATAGCAGACCAATGCACTTCGTGCTTGTGTGTATACATGATTTCAGCATATTAGGCTTGGAAGTATAATCTTAATTTTTTTATACAATACAGTGCCTTAACATAATGCACTAGACATTTGCGCCATCTTGTTTTTTTTTTTTTCGTTTGTTTTTTTTTTTAGCACTGGATTTTCCCGATTCAAAGAAGGCTGCACCGCCTTCCTTCCTGTGTGGGTTGCCTGACTGTGGTCCATTTTGTGGTTTTAGATGAGGGCCTTCACCATTTTTGAACGTCAAGTTTTTGTCCACTTATGATACTTCAGTGGGTATATGTACAACCACTTTAACACATGGAGGCAGGACAGCCTTCTCGATCCCGTGATCACTATGATTGGTTCCATATACAGAGACTGGGGACTGTTGAGACAGCTAGATCACTGTGCTGGGAATGCTCAGTAAGCACACTCACAGCATAGAAACCGTGCCCACGATGGACGCATATTTGCAGCTTGTGGGCGTTAAGGCCCACCCTTCCTGCCACTGTACATTTGCGTTACATGGTCGGCAAGGTGTTCAAAAGGAACTTAACCCCTAAAAGAGAAGTTTTCTGTCTCCTCCCCCCTTCAACTTTTGGACACTTTTTGTGTCCACTCCCACTACCGTCTGGATCACCTAGGTGGTTCGAGAGGAAGTTCACCCCACCTGCAGCCTCTTGGGACACATCATAGGTCCCAGGAGGCTGCGGGACCATTCACAGGGTACGGCACAGTGGGGAGCTGGCTGTAAAGCCACAAGAAGTCACAGCCAGCTTTGCATTTCTGGGGACCCAAAGGCTGGTGAAGAACCAACCCGGGTGAGTACAGGGCTGGATCCCTAGACTTTTATTTTTAAAAAGTTACAGTATTTGTAGCTGGTGGGAGAGGGGGGAATGAAGAACTCTATAAATAAAATATTTTTCATTTTTTTGTCAGTGCTTCTGATCTCATAATATACAGTATGTTATACTTTACTTTAAAGGAAACTTGTGCTTAGAAATATGGAGACAGCCTCTCACCCATTTTTCTTATGTGATGTCACTCATTTGGCAGGCATGGTCTACTGTTGTCACCATCAGGAAATAAATCTTGAGAGATTACATGCAGCCATGGCCAGTAAATTAGTATTCAGTGAAGTGAGATCAGAGCAGAACGTGATGCCCTTCTTTCAGAAAACATATCCCTCTTGTCCTCCTCTGCTGAGATTAGCTGACCAGTTCTACTGTTGCTAGGACTGTGATGATCCCAATCAAGCTAGACAGACTTTAACAGGAACCCAAACCTGGGAGAGACTGGGAAGACTGCTTTGCAAAATATGACCCCTGCTATGCAGTGTTGAAGGCTGGGTCAGGTTTCTGGTGAATGAAAGGAATCTCAAGAGATCATACATCATGCCGGTAATAAACAGAGGTAAAAAAAAAGGTAACATGCTGGATTTTAAGATAAATTGACATAGTTGCTTCTTTAAATTGTGAGGATTAATTTCACCATATTGCCTGCAGCTCCAGAGGTCAGTGAGGGTTTATCTTAAAGCTCATCTATGACTTAACAATCTGCAAATATATAAATGTCTAAAGGCAACACTATACAATCTGATTGTACAATCTCCTTTGGATCTACCATCAACTATGTAATGCAAAGGCCTGCCTGATTTGATACAAAAACCAGTGTTCATGGGGGCCCTCATAAAACATAGATTTGTCTAAAAGAATTTGTACCATTAGACTGTATAGTGTACAGAGAGATTCAAGTCTAGCCACAGCTTGACTTCAACGGAAATAGTTTAGTTTTTTTTAGTAAAGAAAAAAAAGCTATGGGGTCCTGGGATAGATTTTTAAATCAGTCACTTTATGACTAATTGTGTAGATGTTTGGTCACATACTGTAGGGTTATTGTATAGTAAGTTCCTCTGAGGTTCTAAATGCAGTCAAAGTTCTCTTTTAAAGCATGGTAATTTAAATACTGGTATTTAGTTCAAAATAACCTTGATCCTGATAAGGTGCTTTATGCTGAACACTGTAAAATAAATCTGCATGCAAGACCAAATTCAACTGAACTTTTTTCCATGACATGAGAATAACATCTGAACAGACTGTACTATTGCATAACTGCACAAACATACTGCTAGGTTAATTTGCTTGCTTCAAAGCTTTCCTTAGTGTGTCAGTGTATGACTGTGGAAGGGATATCAGACTAGAAATTCCTTTGGTGGCAAGATTAAATTTTTTTTTCTCTGTAAAGCATAAACTAATTGTTGGCTCTATAAAACTGAACAATAGGATTATCGACTAGTAAAATTGTGCTTTGTTTTTATTTATAGAGTACAGAGCAATATTCACTAACCCTGGATTATATGCAGCCACCTTCAAGTGATTGGACACTAGCAATGCCATAGCAGCCAGGACATCCCCATATAACTCTTCCCACTCCCAGTTATCCAGTGCCTGAAGCTCTATTACAGGCCTACCCTCCATCTTCATCCCGGCAGGGACCAGATATGGTCCAAGGCTTAGCCGAGAAGTCAACCAATCCAGAAGTCTAGGTGCAGCTAGGAACTTGATAGAAGTCAAAACCTTCATAGAAACTAGGTAAGCTTCTCTCAGTAGAGCAAAGAGGTCCAT